GGATGTGAGAAGAAGTCTGCGTACATCTCTAGTAAAGATCTTGTCTCCAGGATAAAAGTGGGTAGCACAACCTGCATTTAAAACTCTCATTAGTTCTATGCAACTTGATATTGCCTTCTCAGTATTTCAATTAATACTAAAACACGGGAAGTTACCAGCCAACTAAATATGCCATAATAACATGAACTGAAGACACAATATCAGCTTAAACMRCTGTTGATAGTTTCTCTGAGTTGACAGTCATTTTCCAACAAAGTTGTTAAGGCACATTGACAATTTTMTTCAGCCATTTGTTCATATCTTAATTTACTGCCACCACTTGTTGTCTATTTTCTTTTCKTATTAATATCAATGGCCTCTAAAGGGACCATGAGAGCTGTCAGGGTTAAAGTATTATGGTATACTTCCTATGCTGGGTTTCCAATCTATCCCACATGGTTTAGTGAATGAAATTGTAGTAATAAACAAAGGTGAGCAAACCATACCTTAGTGAGATCCATACCAAGTCTCACTTGAGAAAGAAGATGGGTAATAACACTACCATGTTGTTTGATTGCTTCACCTTGGAATTGAAAAGAGATTGTTGTCAGTAAGGAGATACATTATTTCTGACTAAAAAGTGCAATCGTTGCCAAAAAACCTTGGACCATAGAATAATTTGTCTGCTTTATTTTTTAACAGTTCTCCCCCGTAGCCCCCTTTCATCAATGTTGGGTCTTGTTTTGGATGCTTGTGTACTATGGTAACATGATCAATGACAACATTGCATTTAGGGGGTCCGGGGGGATGAAATTGTCTTCAGGTGTTGCTTAAAATGRGGAAATTTGCTGGAATGGTCCAAGGATTTTGTCAACCATTGTAGGTGAAAATGATTATCATGTATTTTACAGCCAACTGTGATGAAGATTGAATAGTTTGAAGCAAGTTGAAAGCCATGCTTTGTCCTGGTGATGTTTATTTTATCATGAACTCACAACAGAAAGCTTGCAAGTACAGTAGTACTCTGTTTAGTAACTAAGTGATCAGTGAGTAAACTAAGAGTACTCAAGAGGCCTCAAGTAGCAAGCTTTATATGCCAGGCTTTCTTTAACACTGCAGCTCCTTTCTAGTGTGCTCTACAAACTTTGTTTGTATTTGATGGACTTATAGCATGTAAGGAATATTCTGATCTTTGTACTTACTTCCAATTTCTTTCCCATAAACATCCCCGTCCTCTTTTTCATATTCATCTGAGGATGAAAGCCAAAATAAGTTAAGAATAAAATAAATTTAAACTAACAGACAGAGATCACAACAGATAGAGACCATAGTTCTAACTATGTGCAGATAGACAGGCAGCAAAATATACACCTCAGTATACGGGCTGACAAACAGCAAACTGGACAGATATAGGCCATAGTTAGTTCTATCTATATACAGACAGACAGACGGACAGATAGTGAACTAGACACCTCAGTAGYGACAGACAGTATAGTGGACAGATGAAGATAGAGAGATAGTTCAGTAGACCACAAATAGATAGACAGCTATTAATCAACTAGACAGACAGGCAGCTCAATAGACAGACACAGGCAGACTAACCTTCATCATCTAAAACTAAGATCTGTTGTGGATTTGGCWGTGTGTCCTCTGACCTGAAAACAAAAGTCATCAGTTATCAATTTCATGTATTTCTTGTCCCTGGTGCAAATCCTAGACAGAATCCAGTAGGATCTTATTTAGGAATGGGATCCTAAATAGGATTCTAAGTAGGAATGGGACCCTGACTAGGGTCCTGAGCAGGGTCCTCATAGGAATAGGACTTTGATCACATTCTTATTTGTAAGAATAGGACCCTAGCCAGTATTTGGACCTAGAGTGTTTCTTTTCCTCTGAGTTTCTCTGCTATCTGGATGGGTTAATATTATTCATAATTTGAGCAACATTTATATGGCTGATTATTAAATTTATCAAGGAGTTAATTGGTTACAGTACATCACGAGTACTGCTGCTATAATGACTTCCTTCACATAGTTTGTCTTTGCTATTGCTGGTCATGCTTGTCTTGGCTGCATTTTGCTCCTCATAGATGCTGGTTGCAATATATTTTGACAAGAGATCATTTGCTTCCTTTTTGATCTCAATTCATTTTCATTTTTCTCTCTTGTTTAGTTTTCCACTAAGAAACTAGTATGACAGGTCCTGGGGATTACTGGTGGCTTGGGTTGTCATGGTAATCAGTTTAAAGGATCACTTGGACCAAAAAATTTATGGAGCTTTTTTAAAATAAAATATTTTGTAAGAATTACTTCATATGTGAATATGACTATCACAATAAAATTAACTAAACTTAATTTTTACAAAAGTTTGCATTTTAAGCTTGCAAAACTTCAAAGGACAATAGATGGTAAATATGATGTGACATCATAAATACCAAAATGTAATTTTTATGTTAATTTAAGTTACTTGGCTGTTTTCATGTTCCTTATTTGGAAGTAAGCAATTGCTTTATGATAATAATTAAATACATGAAAATGGCTTCAGTTCAGTCTCCAATGATTTTGTTTTGCGAGTATTTCATTTTAATACAGCATAGCATTTTGAGCATTTCATCGGAATTGCGTGCAGAATTGGCATGTAACATTTAGGGGTGTACTGTTAGAACAAAGATTGTGAGAGACAGAAAACACAAAAAATGAAAATGTCCAGTAGAACAATAGACATTGTCTAACATAATTCTACAATTCTTTGTTTTTGTTGTCTTGATCAATCAGAAGCTTTAGTCTGACGGTAGTGGTCGATCCAACATTTACTTAAACAACATGTGAATAATAACTTAATATGTAAATGACATTACCTGAAGCTGTCCTCCTTCTTATCTAAATTGCTATTTTCTGTCATGTCAGTAGTTGCATCAAAAAATTCGACATCCTCTTCATCACTACTGGAGTATGAAGCATAAGGCACTGTCTCAGCATTGGAAATAGTAGGTGCTAGCGCGTATGTTACTTGGGTTGGTGTCGATGATGCAGTTGTCTCTGCTGTACTTTCAAAAGAAAATGAAGTTCCTTCTGATGTAGGCGAGCTTAATTCAAAGTTTGACTTAGAAAGGACTCTATTAATTGAGCCCTCTTTATCATTTGTTGTCAGTGATTGCTTTTCTGGCACTGAAGATAACGATGAATCACTTTTACTTGGTCTAATAGTTCTTATTTCATTGTCAACTCTTTCTTGTTTGTCTTGTGAGGTGGCAGTTGGTTCATTTTCTATATTCATTGGAGATTCATAGGCAACTGTTTTGCTGGTTTCTACTTGTTTTTCACATTCTTCTTTTATTTTGTACATTAGTCTTAGACACTGATCCACTGATGAAAGCATGCTCTGCAATTAAACAATATGTAATTAACATTGAATCAAGATAAAAATGATGCTATATCAATGTTGAAAGAAAAAACTAAAAAATATTTCTAACCTCTGATGACTCTTTGAGAATAGAGTATCGCTGCAAAAGAATTTAATTTGCCTTAAAGCTTACATGTATAATCAAATAATACTAAGAGTATAAGAACTCAACAGATTTATTGATAATTGCTATGTTAAGTACTTCAGACCTCGCCTCCTCTGCTTGCAACTCCTTTCTTATTTTTTTTTTATATTGGGGTACCTGTGTTAAACTTTAGGCAGACACTACATGTTGGGGCAAACAAAAGTGGGAGAGGGTTCCAAGAAAGAATGGAACCTTATCTACCATTATGTCATTCACCCTACAGTACTATATCCCCAGTTCCCCTCTCCAAGTACCCTTCCAAAGGAWTCCCAATTGTAGATGAAATCATTTTTTACCTGTGATGACTGTGCATCCAGGTCAGCACTCATCTGTTTGCTAATCACCTGAAAGGATTTTATACAAAGGTTACAAAAAATATACCTTACCCCAGGTGGGAAGGAGGAAGGGGGGGTGCAATAGAAGCAGAAGAACACGAATAAAAATAGCACGGATGGATGAAGCATGGATGAAGGTTTGGAAAAAAAACATACAGGGGTTAAGGTAACACAGTTAAACAAGATCTCACAACATAAATAGCCCTACCCCTACCACCCTGGAGCTCTAGATCTGAAGGTAGCTAAAATATCCCTTCCTCTCTGCCCCAGGCCCCCTCGAAGGCCTGATACTCAGCTTAGTGATGGAAAGGAATACAAAATAATTCAAAACATGATAGGAATGTACTAATACAAGTAACGACCACAGATATTCCAGATCAACCTTGAAAGGTTCCAGTTGACAATACTAAGAGGGGTAGACTGGGGAAGTACAATAGGATAAAACAAGAACTGGGCACCATTCCCCAGAGTGAAAGAAATCGTAACCTTTCATTTTCTTTAAGAGTGACATTGCATAATAGCATTTATAAACAAGAGGACCACAGGAAGTTAGAAAGAGAAGTTTAACCTTAATTTGTCCTGAGAGAATCTTGTAATACGCTTCTGCTTCTGCAAGCCTTTGGTCAAGACTTTCACGCGTTGGATCAAAAAATTCATAATCTCTCCCTAGAGTAGGTCTCTGACATATGAACATATAAAATATTAAGAAATTGAATAATTCTATTTGAATTAAATTGATGTCTTATATGATGGCTATGTGCTGTAATGATGGCAATTAATGGTTACAATATAATAGTAATAATGATGTTGTCTAGTTTTATGTACATGTATGTATTTGACAGCCATGCTTTGAATAGTAAAAGGAATTTTCAATGATGAGGAGTTGCTGATGTTGGCTATATTATATTAACTATAACCACTAGCTATACTAACTACCATTTATTACATACATATCAATGAGATACCAGGATTTCTCTAGTTGTGAAATAGAGGATATTACATGGGCGCGCTGAGATACGGATTTTATCTTCGAGTGTTGAAAAGATCTCTCACGAGTGAGCGTAGCGAAGATAAAATTCGTATCTTAAAGCGACCATGTAATATTCTGTTTATCATATAATTAAATATGAAAGAAAATTATGTCGGAAAATATCTATTTTCTTACTTCCACTATATAGAGAAACCTCGAATATGTTACTTTCACTAGTGAAAATAACATGTTATTTTCACTAGTGAAAATATCAATTTTACGTAATGGAGAAATATAGGTATTTCATAGATAATTTTATGATAAAATGCAATATCTTGAACCATGAAAAGATATCATATCTTTCACATGTGAAGCTATCACTGTTGCCATGTTGGCATTTTTTCGACCAATTGGATCAATATGTATCTAATAGATCGATAGATCGATATGTATAGAACATTACATGGGGTGCTTGGAAATACTAATTTTATCTTCTTGTGTTAAATTGATATCTCACTCATGAGATATTGATTGAACACTCAAAGATAAAATTAGTATTTCCGCGTGCCCATGTAATATCCTCTATTTGTACAATTGATGATGATGATGATAATCATAATAATGAATTATGAATACAAATCAGAGGTTGTACCTTTCTGACTTGTGAGTGTCTTTTGATAGTATCTTCTAATGATCTAATCCACAACTCTCTTTCCTCTGCGTCACGGGCTAAGGCAAATTAAAGTGAATGTTTTTAAATAAGCTTGAAGTTGTCAAGGGAATAAACTGTCATTTTTCTTCAGACATGCCATATATAGTATTAATGAATAATAATGCATCAGCTTTATCAGCTTATTTATCAGCAATATGAAATATTTGTCACCAAAACCATTCAATTATTGTAATTTTTGCATTATTTCATCTTTCTGATGCAGAATATTGACTTTTTTGCCATATTACGTATTATTTGAACCAATGCAGCGCACAGGGTCTAAACTGCCTTGCCTGTACAGGCCCTAGAGTCTACAGTGCCATGCCTGTACAGACACCAGGGTCTATAGTGCCTTGCCTTTACAGTCCCTAGGGTCTATAGTGCCTTGCCTTTATCGGCCTTAGGGTCTACAGCACCTTGCCTGTACAGTCCCCAGGGGCTATAGTGCCTTGCCTTTACAGACCCCAGGCTCTATAGTGCCTTGCCTTTACCGGCCCCAGGGTCTACAGCACCTTGTCTGTACAGTCCCCAGGCTCTATAGTGCTTTGCCTTTACCGGCCCCAGGGTCTACAGCACCTTGTCTGTACAGTCCCCAGGCTCTATAGTGCTTTGCCTTTACCGGCCCCAGGGTCTACAGCACCTTGTCTGTACAGTCCCCAGG